CAAAACATCCGTGCAATGGTGTCAGAGTCCCTTTTGAATATAAAATTCAGTGAGTTGAAGAAATAATATATATGCATCCGAGTATATTCATGCATCCGAGTACAGTAGCAATCTGAAGGACATCCATCCATTTTCTTCATCCAATTCAGGGTCACAAGGGAGTCTATCCCAACAAGCAAGAGAAGACACACCCCGGACAGGACGCCAGTCCAACACAGGGCAGACACACGCACGCACTCACACCAGGGACAGTTTCCCCAGAAGCCAATTAACCTACCAGACAAAACCAGAGGACCTGTAGGAAATCCACACAACCACAGGAAGAACATACAGACTCCACACAGATAGCACCCCAAGTCTAGAATTGAAACCCAGGGCCCCATCGCTGTAACTGCTACACCACCATTCCTCCCTGCAAAGGGCATTCCTGTGCATAGTACTAAATGTTTGTTATTCAGTACCATTTGGCAGGTACAGCAAGTGTCTTGTCACAATATGACCCCCTACAGCTGTTCCTGAAGATTCAGAACAAGTTAAAGAAGCAGCATCAGCCTGCTCTGATTGATGGTAGCATTCGTGATCAGACCACAGTCGTGTATGAGCCTGGAATTTGAGCATTCACTTGTCCAACATCTATTTTCTGTAGTATCTCAACATTTTCTTTCGATCTGTAATTAAATGTTGACAGACGTATGATCTGCTTTCAGAAGCAATGGGAAGGATGAGATTTTTTTGTAACCATGACACCAGCTGCATATACGTACAGCATACACTGCAAATGTGATTCCCCCCTGTTTAAAATGCATTGCCAATATTTTGCAAAACAAACACATTTTGAAAATATTGTGAAAGCCAAACAAATGCAGTTCAGACCCTGAAAGCTAGTTCTGGAATTCACATCACTGCAAATAGCCACAATAGTCTTTTTTACCCTCTAATAGTATTATGTAAACATCACTTAACATTTTTAGTACCATTACTAGAGGAGTGCTACTTACCTAAAACAAATATTGACCGCATTATCCTATTCATGAAGATGGTGCTGGGCCAAAACATGAGTTTGTTCAGTTCAGGTGAGCAAAGTGTTTTGAGCAAGGCAGCCACAAAGATAAATAGAAACTGTAATTTGTTATCAATTGTATAAAATACATTCTAGTAAGAAACAATGGGTTTGAGATCAAAACAAATAAAGCAATAAAAATAATATCAGCTTATGTTTGTTTTGCAAAAGAAAAATAGGAATTCTTGTTATCGCTATTAAAATTCAGTTAAAAGTACAGTTAGAAAAAATAAAACTAGACTTCATCACCCTGTAAATCACAACTGGCAGCTCACTGGAGCTCTGCAGGTGTGAGCCTGGTCAGTACCTGGATAGGACACCTCCTGGGAAAAACTAAGGTTGCTGCTGGAATAGGTGTTAGTGGGGCCAGCATGGGGTGCTCACCCTGCGGTCTATGTGGGTCCTAATGCCCCAGTATAGTGACAGGGACACCATACTGTAAAAAGTATAGTGTGTATACTGTGGTCATTAAAAAATCCAGGGTGTCCTGGCCAAATTTCCCATTGGCCGTTACCACTCATGGTCTCCTAATAATCCCCATCTCTGAGCTTGCTTCATCACTCTGTTCTCCTCCCCACTGAGAGCTGATGTGTGGGGAGCATTCTGGCGCACTATGGCTGCAGTCGCATCATCCAGGTGGGGCTACACACTGGTGGTGGTGGAGGGGATCCCCATTACCTCTAAAGCACTTTGAGTGGAGTGTCCAGAAAAGTGCTATGTAAGTGTAAAACAATTAAAAAATTAAAAACCAGTGCAGGGAAGAGAATATATAGCAGATAGAGACATCTCTAACGTCTCTAAATATTAGTCAATTTCACATTCATTACTCATTTTTCACAGCCTGACTACTAACCTGGACTGAATTGTTTTTGATCCAGGTACTGTATGTGCCTCACGCCTACATTGGGTTTTCTCTCCCCCTTATAAACCCAGAGTTTTACATTCTTCTCAGTA